TACACATATTTTGGAAGACCTAGCAAATATCAATGCAGTGAAAAATGAGGTATAAATGACAGTGGGAACTGCAAGAAAGGATCAGCTACCTTCTAGAGATTTCTGAAGGTCTGTCATAAGAAGAGTCTTGCAATCTATCCTTGAAGGCTGCCTCTCTTTCACTGGAGCTGTCGTGTGCCATATCTAATCAAACAGTGAGTCAGTGGCATGAGTTTAGTGGAATACTCCTCTTGGATATTATTACTAAAATCATACAGCTTCTTTACTGGAGCATGGGTCATCACACTCACAGATTGTGGCATCGTACAAAGTTCTCATTGCTTATTCTTTAACCCCATTGAGTGAAGCTGTGATCTGATTGTAATGTTTTGTTAGAGGACCATACTACACTGTAAGGATTCCAAAGCAAAAAATAGAAGAAAACACAACGTAACCTCACTATATAAATTAGTAAAAAAGTTTCTGAAGTACATCTGCCTCCTAAAACAGAAGTATAGTATTCATTGCCAATATGACATCAACAGTGTTGGAAACATATGCTTCCAAACAATAGAAAAGGGAAAAAGAAAACAATTCTTTCCATCCCTACCCGATCTCATAGGAAGACTGAAAAGCAACACTGTCACTGAGAGTATGCAGGGTTGCTAACAAGTCCGCCAAGAAACTACTCAGTCAACAGTATAAGAACACTTCCCTCTTACTAGTGACATTTACAACAAATCCATGAATTCAGAGGAAAACAGTTATGTGAAAATTATTTTCCATAGCATCCCAAAAACACCTAGTCCGCAGAAGGCAGGAAGCAGAGTTGTAACTGACTTAACTGCTAAGTGATCAATTTAAAATCATCTTCTCACTCAAGGGAAAGCATTATTAAACTGTTGCAGTAACAAAACCTATGTGGCCCATACTAATTGACATCTCAAATTAATTGAATTAAACCCACCCAGAGCATACAAAACTGATTTATTCTGTACAGAAACTTATTGTTATGAAAGAAATTTCAGTTACATCAGCAACCTTTAGTTTTGACCTTATGTACACTGGATATATCCAGAATAACTAGTAATAGTTGCTATAGAAATGATAAAATAGAGTAGATTAGTACTCCCTATATAAGAGACAATAGATACCGCTCTTCCTCCCTGTTCTTAGCTGTAATCTGTTAGTGAGGATACCAAGAGTGTGAAATATGATCAGTTAAAAAAACTTAGATAAAAGTAACTAGAGCCTGATTGACATAAATTTCTTTTCCTGGAGAAGAGAGAAAACTTACTAATTTAGAGAAAGTGAAAATGGCAATACCAAAAGTGCTATCAAATGTAACAAGAAAATAAACTGAAAATAGACAAGAGATTGTTTTTTCCATAATCTTTTTCCACTTATAGTCATTTCACAGATTTTTTGGAGGTTCTTTGTTTTAGTTTTTTTTTAGTAGCAGCAGGAGATAATGTCACTGGTGCTCAACAATTCACCCATGAATAAAAAACATGTTGTTTTTGATAAAAATATTAAATGCTGCACCTGGAAGAACTCGCTGACAAATGAGGTTGTCATCCCCCTCCTTCTCCACTCTTGTTTCCATCACATGAAACTGGGTGATTCCTGGACAGCACTCTACAGTCCATCAGTTAAAGCTCTCCTTTACTTCCCCACTCTCTGGGTGGGATTATATACCCTCCAATGCCCTCTGTAACAATATGGGACTTGGGCTCACTAATTATTTATATTTGTGGGACTCCTACACTACTTAAATGGTTCGTTTACTGGAATTTTATATTGCAACTCACAAAGAAAATCATTCTTGCTCTGGTTTTGCGGAAGAATTAGCGTTTAACGTCAGTGGCCTAAACTCACTTGTGAACAGTGAATCATTGCTCTTATTACAGGAATAGACTTTTTTTAATGTGATCATAACAATTTCCAGTTTATTAATTACTCATTCACTTCAAAATGTAATGGTAATATACAATTTGTTTTAGATAAGAAAGAGAAATCTTTGAGGAAATGCAATGATGTAAAATCAATCTCAAGTCTAATTTCCCTCTAAGCTACATCAATGCAATCAACTGAAATTATTTCATCAGGGAGCTACTTTCAATAAAGAGTATCAATAAAGAATGTTTATAGACACTTTATATACCCATAAAAATTACAATATGAATATAGGCAGCAGTACTGTTGAATCTTACACCTACCAGGAGACTACACAGTAACTTTTGGGACAAAAGTGCTAGCTTGCAAATTATAAAGCATCTCAAAAATAGATATTTTGGCTAAGATACTCCATAAACATATTCACACCTTGTTTCTTTTCATCAAGTGGCAAGTGAGGTGCAAAACTCGACACAGAGATGCTGCACACTTGGTATTGCTAAGTATAAACAGTTCTAAGGATAAAACAGATCCACCAGTCAGGTGTCTGTCTGCCAGCAGTGCCCTGGCTGCCCCAGAGCATCCAGCCCAGCGACTGGGTCCTTTGGGACTGCAGACCACTATAGGTCTTCACTGATTCCTGCTTTCACAGCTGTACCACAGCCCTGTGTTTGGATGACGTCAGAATACCTGTTTTACCTCCAAGGAATCCACAAATGAAGTCTGACCCTGATGAAATCAAAGGGATATTTTGCCTTTAACATCACTGAGCTCATTATTTGATTTTTTTTTTCACTCAGATTTATACCCATACTTAAGCACAAGCCCTAGCTGAGTTTTTCAGCTCACTTATTGTGAAATACTTTCTCATAGAGGTCTGAGCACAATATCAACCGTAAAGCATGCTGTTTCTGTACCTTTTTACACAACCATACGTTATATGGAATTTGCTGCAGCTATCTGTCATTTGGGTCAAAACATTTTTTTTTTTACTTCCATTTTTATGAGACTCAGAAGTGTCTGTTTTGTTTATGGTAATAACCACAGCACCCTTGGTGAATAACAAAGAAATGGAGAATATTTGTAACCAAAATTTTGTCTTCATTATAAAGTTCATTTTATCCCCTCCCTTATCTACTCTGTTCTCCATATTATCTTTTATTCAATCAAACTTTATTTAACCTGCTGTTGTGAGCAAGTGCTAAGTTTTACATTTGGCAAGCGTTAGGACTTTGGAAGACGAGCACAGCTGGAGTGGATGTAATGAAACAGCATTCTTCTGTACCAAAGTGATCTTGATGCAGATAGAAAAAAAAAAAAAAGACACAACAATATGGTGTATATTTATACCACTTTAATGAGGCTCTATTCAAAATCCAGCTGTGAAAACGTGATTAATCTATATACTAGGGCTTCCAGTACTAGAAAGAAAATCCTTCCCAGTAAAGACTGACTTCCACACGTTACAGATTGTATCTTGTCACTTAATCATTTCATGGAGACCATTCACATGCGTGTAAGCACACTTTGGAGTTTGAATATGTTGCATGGAAAACATAGCAGCTACTACTAAGCAACACTTTATCAGTAGGAAGCTGAGCATCCACATAATTCTAGTTCTTGAAATTATCTATTTATTTGTTTATTTTTCACTCATCTTCATTTTCCTACCTTTATTCCTTTTTTTTTTCATTATTTTTTTTCTCAACAAAAACCTTTAAAGCTAATACTGAATTACTTCTGTAGGTGGTGCCAGAGATGTTGTGATGGTTTTGCTTGCTTAGATTTAACTGTGTCTTTATGTGCAAAATTTGGCTTGATATGATACATTATGTTTTTGAATGTCTCCTTGCAATCTCTGTTTTTCTATCAGAGGATAAAAGCAACTGTTATGCAATCTGGAAACCAGTGGATTGTCATTCACGTCCTGTGCACTGTACTGGTATAGTGAATTTACAGAAGGACCCTTCTAAATCTTTAAGCAACAGCATGCAAACTCTTAAATAAGCTTTTAGCATCTAGGTCATCCAAATTTTGGTTTTGTGTCAAAGTTAAATAGAGACTTCATTATGAATACCACAATGTTACTCATTCTATAGATTGTTTTGGTTTGGTTTGTTTGTTTGGTGTTTGTTTTCAGTTTTGTGGTTTTGCCTTTCCTCAGATTCGCATAACAAGAGACTGAAGTGTCAGGGGACAATGCCTAGAGGACAAGAACAGACATGGACTCTACAATCTGTAGAGTGTATTATTATTTATTCTAACAGATTTGTCTGGTACTCCAGACATTGAGCTAGAAGGGGAACAAAGGATAAGGTAGTACCATCACATTATTGATGGGCAACAGGAGCCAGAGGAAGCTGAAAGGAGCCACAGGAATCTACAAAGGGGGAGAAACCAATGTCCCATGTATTAAAAATGACGCATCTAATGGAGCTGTCCACCTCATAAGACAAACCTGCACTGAAGTGAGAGGCCTGAGCTTCTTAAGCATAGAGGACTTAGTTGTGCTTTTCATGATCCAGTGACATTATTTTCTAAGTAGTTTCACAGCTTCTAGAGCAGGTGTGGATTGTACCTCCTTTTTTCTCTCATATCCCCATGGAAAAGTCTATTACTTGATGACTAAGGTCTTCTGTGAAAGAAGGGATGTTGATGT